TGTTCAACAATAGACAATGCTTTCTTCTCACATTCAATCTTCTTTCTCAGTGCAGCCTCCAGAGCTTCCTTCCTGTAACAGAACAGACACTGAACGATAGAGGGCAAATTTCCATAAACAATTTTACAACTGTATTTTTATCTTTTTTTCTGAAATATAGCTTACATTTTTCTGCATCACACCATGTTGGCCAAACAAAGCAACAAGCAACTGGACTAGTAATTCTGTTATAACTACAAAGGGTTATATATATTTTATATTTGTTTTCTTTACTTACTGGTCAAGAAAAGTACTGACTCTTAACTGTATTGCAATACACTCCTCATATTTTCTTGCAAGAGGGAAATTCAGAACTGTCTGGACAAAGAACCTGGGACAATTTATGGAGTGTTGTGAGGAAAAGAGGAACTGTGTAAGACATGAAGAATAGGAAGGAAAAAAGAAATAGGACACGACTGAGTATGAGGTTACAAAGTAAAGAAAGGAATAAAACAAACAAATGCCACTTCCTGAGTGTTTTTTGATGTCAATAATTATAAATGGCAATTATTAATTACAATTATAAATTATAATTGTAAATAATTATAAATGGTATGTAAAGAAGTTAAGACAGCAAAAAGGAAGCACTACAGACTAAGGATATACAATTTTGGACGTTTACAAACTTTTAGTACATTACACAATGCCCAGATGTGCATGCTGGTAGAAGTTACACAGCATCACTCCGAACATGTCTACATGATGTTGATGCTGGTGATTTACTGAAGTTAGTCGTGGTACTCTGAAAAAACAAAGCCTCTGCAACACAGAGACTGCAATTTCAAAGTGAGGCAAAACAACACAAATATCACATCGTGTTCCTCAGAAATTATACCTTTGAGCAGCATCTTCACTCTTCTGAGCAGTTGAATGCTTATTTCCTAGAAATCAAATATACAAATATAGAAATCAGTGTACTTTCTTAACAGTGGAAAATGTTGGAACCCAAAACATAGGAAAACCTCTACACTGTGAGCACAGTCAAGAAAATTGCTTAGTAATTTGCTTTTGATGGCTGTGATTTCAGTAAGCTGGTATTCAGCAACCAGTTAGACACACTTTTTAAAGTGTGAAAACAGACAGGCCCAAGTTCTCTCATACACTCATTCACCATGTTCTGTACACACAAAAAAGCCAAGAGAAAAACTCATTCTGACAATGATTTTGTGCCAGTCACACCCCCCGTCTTCCAGCCCAGTTTTACCCCGGCACCCACTGCCGTCCCCACAGCTGCCCCACCGCAGGGCTTTGCTCCGGGCCAGGTCCAACGCCGGCACCCTCACACAGAGCCGCTCTTGCCGCCCTCGCTGCCGCCGAGGATGGCGCCCTGACCCAGCTCCCGACTCGGGTACCCCGGGCAGCTGCTCCCCTACGACAAGGGCAACAGGCAGGGAGATACCGGGCTGTTACCCTAAGAAGGACGCAGAGCTCTAGGAAGGGCACAGCGCTCTGACCAGCTGCACAACGCCATCACAGCCCGTCCCCGACGCTCATAGCGGGTCAGGGCGGGCTGGCCCCTCACAGCCTGAAAGGACGGCGAGTGCCGCCCCCGCCTCGCCCAGCCCACCCTTCATCAGGGCCCCGTGCTCAGCCGGCCCGGCAGAAACCCACAGAGCCGATCACAGCCGGGCCGCCGCTCCCCTCGGCATGGCGCGTTGGGCGAGTCCCCCGCTGTGCCGGTCTGGGGGCACAAGGAGAGTCCAAAGCGCTGGCGGGGGGATGCGGGGGCTGGCGCGCGGATCTCGGCACCCACCTGCGCGCCG